TTGAAATAATCCTACTTTACATCTGTAGATAAAACAATATACCATGTTGCTAAGGACCATTTCCTCAGCTTCTTGTAACATATTAACAGATTTAAGTTGTAAAGGCCTGAACATGCCACTAATTTAGAATTTGTAATGGATGAGCAATAGGGTGAATAGAGAGTGTCAGCAGGTGTTGTTCCTGTTATACCTAACAGCTTAGTCAATAAACCAACCCCTCTACAGTGATAAGCAAATGTGAATGTCATACATTTCTGCAGCTTTGGATGGGAGGCAACGAGGGAGCGGCCGCAGTTTCCACATACCTTCAGTTACATTCGACAGCATTTCTGCTGAGACAGAAACCAAACAGCTTCTACATAGCATAATAATAATTTTGAAGTGAGAGAAATAGAAGAGGTGCTAAATTAACGATCGATCCAGCTGTAATCTGTCTAACGGCTTACAGTCAGCATGGTTACGGTGGACTTCAAGACACTCACAGCACCGGTGGGCATTTTAAGGATACTGGCAGTGGTCTTAACCTGCATCTCCTTCAGCCTGGTGGCATCACTGGGCCACACTTCTCTGTCCTTCTGGGTCTGGTGCATGTTCAGCTGGTGTTTCTGCTTCTGCATCACCTTCCTCGTGCTCCTCCTGGAACTGACAACTCTAAATACAAAGCTGCCCATCTCCTGGGATGACTTCACTGCTGCATTTGCCATGTTGGCTACCCTGATGGTATGTGTCGATTTTTATTTTTTAAACTCTAATGTCATTTGTCTGTTCTTGCTATAGCTATTGCTGCAGGTTGTATGAAGGACTAGCCAGCTTTCTTCATGATCACTGCCACTGAGACTTTGCTAAAGAAAATAAAAGTGTTTTAAGCTGAACTTAAATTTAAAGGTTTCATACGGCTCAAACTACTTTAAGTACAATTAAACTACTTCATGAAAAATAAGAGGCAGATTACTATGTTTTTAGAGATAGACATATCAACACCCTAAATGGTGAGTTTAAAAGTCCCATGGTAGAGCTTTATTTTTTTGCAGCTTTATCAATAATCTATAACTTGTTAAACTGAGTGAAACACTAGAAATCAGTCAAAATCAACTGAGTATCTTAAAAAGATTCCACCCTTTCTTCCACACAGATGTTCACAGCAGCTGTGATCTATCCATATTTCTTCGTCTGCTCTAGCTGCGGCAGAGGTATTGGTGCCAGTGTCACGACCTGCTTGGCCTTCATCCTCTACGCCGTTGAGGTGGGGCTAACCCGGGCCAAACCTGGTGAGATCAGTGGATTCCTTTCCACAGTCCCAGGCCTCCTCAAGGTTTTAGAGGCCTTTGTGGCCTGCATCATCTTCATCTGTTTGGACTTCACCTTTTACTCTATCTTCCCGGGGCTCCAGTGGTGCGTTGCCGTCTACTCCATCTGCTTCATTTTTGCCCTCCTCGTCATCATTTTTACCATCGGCCGCCTGCTGCCTCTCTTCCCTGCGCCCTTCGACAAAGTCTTGACGGTGTGCAATGTGCTGGCAGTGCTGATGTACTTCACAGCTGTGGTCATTTGGCCATTTTATAGCTTTAGGAACAATTCAGGCACCGATGATTTTTACATAGTCATTACTGTGATGACCTGCTTGAACCTCATTGCTTACATTGTGGATACAGTTTACTCGTTTAAGCTCGTCTTCTTCGTCAGCAGAACATAGGTTGCAAAAAGTCAGCTTGAACTTATCTTTCATTGATTGATTGATTGTATGATAGTTATTTTTATGATGGTTTATGTCATTCTTTTACTGCAGATTTCATATTAATTAGAGTAGCTTTTTTTAAACACGATTTTGCATTTTTTGAAGCCATAACGTAGCTGTGGTTGATTCAGGGTTTTTTTTATTCAGGTTTATGAGCCTGTAAAAGTACCGAGTAGGAAACTCATTCAGTGTAGTTTCTTACAAATCTCACCCTGATAAAGAACACTAAAATCCAGTCATTGTGGTTAATGAACGTTATTGAACAAGCCTACATACCCATATGGTTGTTTTAGCACCTCGGTAATAAAGTATGATAAGTAAATCTTAAATAAATACCACTTTCATGGTTTCAGGGTTAAATAATGAACTCCCCTTTGAGAATGTTTGCAAAGGTGTGTCCAAGTGTGCATATCCTGCAATACACACAGCTATGGGTTTCGAGCTAACAACTCCACTCTCTTTTTTCGATTATGGGCATGGAGTAAGTGAAAGAGAACAAAACAGAGCAGAGTTAAGAAAGTTTTTTCTTCTTGTAGTTTTTTTTAAAGGCTGTCTTTAGCTGTTAAAGAAAGAAGCTGCTTTGTTTTGTCCTAATGATTTAACTGCTGATGATGAGCTGAGCTGTCGAACGGCTCCTCATGTGTGTTTACACAGGAAAAGAATTACTGGACGTTTACTGCCAGAACAGGTTTATTTAGGTTTATTTATTCAATCCAAAGCTCTAAAGCCAGTTGGAACAATAATCAGTGACGACTTTGCTGTTTGATTAGTCTACAATGGTTCTGGTTATTCTTTCAGTAAACAGTGAAAAATGCACAGTTTAAACTGGTTGTATTTGGATTTTGTCCAAACAGTAATAAAACATTATTTTTATAAATATTTTTAAAGTTTTTAAAGATGAAGCACATCTTCACTCAGTGTCACAAAATAAAAATTTTCCTTAGTAAATCTATTACTTAAAGGGAGAGTACAGGATAAGTACTTTTCCGTTTTAGTTTTCTTTTAACAGACCATTCGAACCATAAAAGCAGTTGCTCAAGGTTAGCCCAGTTTGCTTATCAGAGTATAAGTAATAAAACTGATAACCACTAGCATATATGGTTGAAGCGTAACCTTTCACCCATCATGTACAGCAACCCGCATATAAAAATGGGAACAACTATGAAAAGCGATTGTATGTAGTAGTATGTAGTTTTGTGAGCAATGAGAGATTTTGTTTTTGTTTTTTAATAAAGGAAAAAGCTACAAAATGGAAAAACTGGAGAGGAAGAGACCACATGGGTCACATCCACATTCTGCATCTGCAGAATTAATGTGTGTGTTAAAGTACCGTAGTGATTGTGTGTTCTTTTAAATGTATTCTTATAAATGTACACTTTTCTCTGCTTCTTTGTTTTGTGGTTTGTTTAAGGTTTTCTTACATTTTAAATATTCCATGAATGTTTAAGGAAATGAATCATATGATGTCCAATGTGTTAGTGTAAATGGAATAGTACTTATATAACAGCACTTATTATCTATTCTAACCCTCATTTATCCAACCTTTCACACACATTCGTACAAGCTCTTCATTCTATAGCACCTTTTGTAGCTTTCATGCTAACACTCACACGGATGCACCATGGAGGGAACTCAGGTCAGTGTTTTCAGTGCCTGAAATTTAAAAGCTCAATAACATAATTTAGTGTCCCAAATTGCTCTCTTTTAACTACACAGAAGCAATAAATCAAGTCAACAAAACTACAGAAAAAAACGCATTTATTTCTAGGATATGACCTACACCCCATCACTATGCTGTACTGAGCTGGGTTTGTGCCAAAGACCAGAGTCCAGTGTGGGTTGCGAGGCTAACATGATAACGCTCATGAGTATCCAATCAATGGCGTGAAACAGGGGTCATAAACAGCTCAGACAAGCCCAGGATGCTCTGAGTGAATGTGCACCACCACTTGCGTTTCTGTTTCAAAGAACACACCTGCTCTGGTCTTTGCCTTCATGGACATCTTTAGCTGCTATCATTTAAGCTGGTTTCAAAGTCAAAGGCTTGCTGTACACTGAGTACAGTAAACTGACTTGGAAAACCAAAGAATACTTTTTTTTTTAAGGTCAAAGACACTCATCCTGTCCAGACATGGTGAATGTAGATGTCCGATCCCTTACCCAGCCAGTGGGGATCATGCGAATAATGGCAGCTATCCTCACTTGCATGTGTTTTAGCCTGGCGGGAGCGGCAGGAGCTAGTTCATCTTCCTACTGGGCGTGGTGCATGTTCACTTGGTGCTTCTGCTTCTTCTTCACGTTTCTGATTGTCATCCTGGAGTTCACCACCGTCAACAGCAAAGTACCTTTCGCCTGGGATGACTTCACTACCGCCTTTGCAATGCTTGCGAGCGTCATGTGCCTGATCGTCTCCATCATCTACCCCACTTTTTTCACTTGCAAAACCTGCCACCGTGCTATCGGTGCCTCCGTGGTCTCCTGGGTTTGTTTTGCCACATATGCAGGTGAGGTGGTCTTAACACGCCTTTATCCTCGTGGGGAAACCAGCGGGTTCCTCTCCACGGTGCCGGGGATAATGAAGATGCTGGAGACCTTCATTGCCTGTCTCATCTTTGTATCCCTGGATCAAAGCCAGTACACTGCTAATTCAGGAATCCAGTGGTGTGTGGCTGTGTATTCCTTGTGTTTTATCTTTTCCATCATCATAATCCTGCTCACCCTCGCACAGCTGACCTCCTACTTGCCGATCTCCTTCGACATGGTGGTGATTGTCTATAACATTTTGGCAGCAGTGATGTACACGACAGCTGTGGTGATCTGGCCACTCTACAGTTTCTCTAAGGACAAACAAAGACCCTCTAACTGTGATCACTTCTGTCCCTGGGATAAGCTGGTGGTGGTCACCTTCATGACAATCTTTAACTTTATTGTTTACACCCTGGACGCTGTGTACTCGATACGTCTTGTGTTCTGCATCATGAATCGTGAAGACTAATATGAAACAAAACATGCTCTGTGTTTGCATCACTCTTAATAGAACAAGGTTATAAAAGTGTTTCAATTTTTTATAAACTTGTGTTATACAGCTGCTGACCAAATAACGAATCCAATATAGTCTATTATAATCTAAAGTGCTGTCTTAAATAACTGCATAAAAGAAATGTAAAGTACCAAAACATACTCAGTTAATGATTAGATCTGTGGTATCACTGTCGTAAGATCTAAAAACAAAACAAATATCTGAGGGGAACTTTGGATCCTCAGGTGATTGAACAGTACAGGTAATAATGTTGAGGTCATCTATAGCTCTGCTGCGTCGTGTAGTCAAATTATATGCCAAATAAAGGTGGGTGTGTTCACATTCATCTTTTTACTTGACGGTGTCACAACTTTCTGATGAAAGGAAGAGTTTGACAGTTGACATTTCGCTGTATAATAAACACGGTGGTTTTTTTTTTTTTTTTTAAATGAAGGCCAAGAGCAAAATGTTATTGATGCACTCTTGAGTATTAGCGTAAAGCCTGACTGATATATTATTTGTTTAGACCGATATCTGCTGATTTAAAAAGTCTGATATCCAACATTGGATGAAATAAATGTAAACAGATTTCAGCCAATAACTGCACATTTGCTGTTTGTAGTTTATATACTTGTTTACATTCTGGCCAGTCAGTTGTGTTTGTGGCAACTTTCCTGTTGCCAACAAGAAAGTTACTGAATGCCCTCTGCTGGTCAAAGTTCTCAGCATGAAGACTCGTGCTGCATGAGTGCTTCTCCAGTCCCTTGGTTACTTTTTAATTTTCATTTACTGGCCAATATAAATGCCAGTACAGTCAGATCGACATTTAGATAACGGTATCTCCTTCGAAGGTGAAGGTCGATATTGCTACCTTCATGTAGAACCAAGTATCCTGCATTGAAAAGTGAAAGCAAAAGTCTAGTATTATTTTGCTTGTGCTGAACTACCTAAAAATGAACGTGTCCTAGTTTCAACAATAGTAATCTACAAACCAATGCGTGACATTGACATGTATGTTCATCTTTTAGATCCAGTTAATAACAACTGTTTCCATGTTCCCAGACTTTCTGCTATTCGGGTGTGGTCACCTGAATTATATAATAAAGACCACATTTTGTTCCCTAAATGTCAAGCCAGTGTTGCAGATAAATATATAATAAAACCAAAATCCTTAGTGTGCAACACAAACAGGAAAATATAAACACTGAAAGGCAAACAGACCTGTCACTGAGATGGGGCTGGAAGAAATGAGAGAAATACAGGGACTTTTTTTTTTCTAAAGGCGGAGATGAAGCAGAGACAGCAGTGAGACGGCAAGAAATTTCCAGACCTTGGTGGGATACGTGGGAAAGCCAAAAAAGAAAATGAAGTTGGATTTGTTGGAAGGTGTTTTCTTTCTTTTTTTCCCCCTTTCTTTCTTCTTTAGAGATGTGCTGGGCAGGCCTGGAAAGCCAGGAAGCAAAAAGTAGAACCTCAGTTAATTCTTTTAAAACAGCTTCATCCAGATCTTACATGTAATCCCAAAAGTATTGTGCTGCCCGGTATACCAATCTGTGTGAGTGAGCTTGGGTCAAATAGAGTAAGTGAAGCATGGAAATTTAGCTTTTCTTCTCATGTCAGTCTGTCAGAAGGAAAGACCACATTTAAGTAAATCGTCTATATATGCCAGACGTGACAGTAAATTGGATTCTGTAAGGTGTGCTTTGATTTAGATTACCGAATGGACAACTCACGATCAACAGTTCACGAGTTTCTTCCACTTCAGGGGGGAAAAGAGGTATGAAAAAGTACACTGTACAACACATCCAAAATGTGCCTTCCTTATTAAAAGGAGTTGCAGTAAAATGTATTTTGTGACTATATTTACTATTCAAAGCATCTATGTAAAGAGGTGTTACGTTTAGTGTGGTTAAATCAACCAACGCTTTCTCCCTGTGTGTTTGCTCATTAAATACCAGCAGAGTTAGTGGTAATCATTAACTAGTTCTAACTTTTAGTTGAAATACTAAAGTAATACGGAAGAGAACAAAGAATTGTTGATAACATAAAGCAACTGTTCAATTATTAAAGTACAAAACTACCATAGAAAACATAATGCAAAAGAGTTTAACACAATCTTAAGCTGAATTATTATTTTGAAAAATGAAACAAACAGTTTCAGTTTAAGAAGCCTTATAGTGCGCAGAGTGCACAGTGAACACATAAAAATACTCACTCAGAATCATATAAATTAAATTATTGAATCATAATTATTGATTTTTGGTGTGTGTATATATCTCTTTAATGTTGGAGCTACTGAGGTAGGTTTGTGCTCCATTTGCTTGTTGCTAGGGAACCAAGTGCATTCACCCCCGATTGGTTGCCTGTGGTTTCTGGATCAAATCAGTTGCAAAGAAGGTGGTGCACCAAAAACCTCAGAGAGATTGGTGTGGTTGTTAGTAGACTGCCATTCTTGCCTGTAGTTTATGCAACATGTTTCAAAATGTGCAACTTTTCCAGTTTCAAGTTAGCTTTTTATAGTTTCTCTCCTCCTCCTCCTCAGAGAGTAACTGGGCAGTGTTTGTACACAGGTCTGTCGCTTCCATTCAAACTGTCAGTGCAGAATAGTTTGTAACCAAAGAAATCACTGGAGGATTTTTCCTGACTGAGATTTCGGCAATCATTTTGCCCCACAACTCACAACAGCCTAAAGCAACCACACAGTCAGGGAGGAGTCGGGGCCTAGGAAGGCTAATCATTTTTCATCCTCTAATCGCCTGAGCCACACCCAGTTTGGCTCATGTGATTAGGTAGAGGATCGGGGTCCTTTTGTCCCTCTGTGGGGGGAAACTCCCACTCGGTTTAAATCTGGGACTCCCCACCATTTGACCTTACAACTGAA